ATTTCCTGAAAGTGAAGGGAAACATTTAAATTCTATATTTAATATGCGTTGGTATAAGATTCTTTAGCTTGAGCCCATACTGTTATTTTTAAGGAATTAGGCATGAAGAAAGTTAAAAAAAAATATTAAAACAGATACTTCTACATATTTTCAAAAAATATGTGCTGATTACCAAAACTTGTGAAAAAAGGAATATAGTTTTACAGAAAAAATAAATAAAACAGTGATCCACCCCTATTTGTTCAGACAGAACGAACTAAATGAAATTCACCATGTTATGATCCAAAAACATCTACACAACCAATGTAAGATTAAGTGTAATCTTACTGTAAAAAAAAAAGTGCTAGCAGACAATTTTAACCTGGCGGTAAGATTATTTCAGATTTTTGGTCTGAAAGCGGTACCATTTTTTTGCATGGAAATATGTAATTGTAGGCCTGTAATTATTAGGAAAAACTCACTGAAATCTGTCCGAACAAGAGTCTAGTAAACATCCCGGGTATGATAAAATTTGAAACACAAAATCATAAATAATTTAATAAATGCAAATAATAAAAAATTTAATTCAATAATATAATCAAACCAAAAACACTGAAATGTGAAATATAGCGCAAGTTCGCACATTGCTGAGCTCAGTCGCAAAATCGTTTTCAGTGTCTGATGACGACTTTCCCCCACGAATCATTATCACTCAATTCTGCAAGTGGTTCTGATTTACTATCGCTGTTCTCTAGCTGATCTAAACCGCTTTTGACCTAAAGGGACACTTTTTGGACGCCATGGACATTTCTCAGTTTCCAGGCAGAAAGAACAGACAAAATGCAGGCAGGGCGCAGGACAAAGCACTAGGGACAAGATGTATGTGAAATTGGTTGAGACCGCAATGTTTTACTATGTAAAATGTAAAAAAAAAAATGAAATTTTTTAAAATTTTTAAATTTCCCGCCGCCGGAGGCGCCCGTACGTCCCGACCACAGGGACAGGACACAGAAGCCGGATGCCGGCATCGGCCGGAGGAGATGGCCGGGGAGCTGCAGGGGACACATGCGGGAGGCAGGGTAAGGTAAGTGAAGAACACAAGCAGCGCCTGTAACCGCTTTTGGTACTGAAGTGTTACCCCGAGCTACAAGAATACCGCCAGGGAGGTGCATAAACTTTGTCCCATTTGAGCTAGTAATTTTCTTCTAAATGCATGCGTACAATTTTAGCATGCCTTGGTACTGGGATGGTTATCTCCCGTGCCCATGCTCAATAGTTAAGGCCAGGTAAGTGATGTGGACTTTTGTTACACTTTGATTTTATCATGAAAACCAATCAGGATAGCTGAGGGTGGCAAACCTGAAAGAAGACCAGCTAAAGATGTCAGAGGTGATAAGTGAGCAGGTGGTGAGGGAGTTTGTTGACATCACATTGCTGGAGGGAAGGTAAGTGATGTGGACTTTTGTTCCACTTTGATTTATCCAGAAACTGTTATTAGAGAATTCTGTAGAAAAATAAATCTTTTCTACTCTTTAACTCTTGAAAAGTGTGCAACTTCCCCTTGTCTACTATGTCCCTTAAATGTGCATCTCTGTCTTTAAACTATTTCCAGAAATATTGTCTTTCCCTGGTGGGAAAAACTCAACAATTAATTAAACTTCCAACCCCTTCGTTTGTGCATACTAGCCCATACACTTAACACCTCCCGTGTCAACGTGCTACTGTTTTCATCCATATCACAAAACTTTTGTGGTATCCAAATGACCCTCTCTAGTTGTGCATTACTTAATATACCTTCCATTTTAACCCAAACTTTTTTTTTTTTTAGATGAATTGAGATACTGTCAATTAAGACCATTTGTCTTAATGCTCCCTCAGCTACTGAGGATGCTGGAGGACATGCTCCCATTTGAAAAAATGTTGAGTTCTAATATAGGTCAAAAACATGCTACTTCTGGGATCTTTCAGATCCTTACTGAGTTGATGGAACCTGGTCCTCCCCCATTCTTTGAGAAATGGGAAAAGGAATTGGGAACAAAAATGAGCGAGCAACAGAAAAATAAAATGTTTCAACTAACACATGGGGTGATGAGTATGAACACAGTTGAAATTAATTATAAATGTTTAACGAGATGGTATTGCACACTGTGTGTGGCACATAGACAACGAGTATAAGTTTCACCATTATGTTGGGGGGGGGTGTGGGTCTAAAGGAACAATGCCACATATATGGTGGAATTGTCCTAAAATACAGGTGTTTTGACAAGATAGAATCCAATACATACAGGAGATATTGGGGATCACCATACAGAAGGACCCGTGAGAGTGTTTATTTTACAGGTCAGAGATGTCAAACAATATAAATATAGTGTATTTACAGGGGATAAAATTTCGAGTCCAGACCTACTAGCCGGTCACAAAACTTACTCTCCACCAGTTGCCCCACCCAACCTTGCCCAGGCCCACCCCCAGCCCGCCCCCAACCACGTCCCCTTAAAGCTTATGAAATTACATTTTTCTTTAGAATAAATAGTCCAAAATATAAAACTGTACACAGTAATGTATATCCCAGCTTTCCTGTACTCCATTATAGTGATATGACATGTATACAGTAATGTATATCCCAGCTCCCCTGTACTCCATTATAGTGATATGACATGCATACAGTAATCATTACTGCATACATGTCATCACTATAATGGAATATAGGGGAGCTGGGATATATATTACTGTATACATGTCATATCACTATAATGGAGTACAGGGGAGCTGGGCTGTATACATGTCATATCACTATAATGGAGTACAGGGGAGCTGGGATATACATTACTGAGTAATGTATATCCCAGCTCCCCTGTACTTCATTATAGTGATAGGACATGTTGTGTACAGTACTTACTGTCCCCCTGAGTCCCCCGCGGCGGTGGAGAGGGTGTCTCCTCTCAGCGGAGGAAAGCGGACCTCTCCTGCACCTGTCCCCTCGGCGGTGGTGCCACAGAAGCCGGAAACCGGAAGTTGTAAACCGGAACTCGGCTTTACAATGAGGCTTGGAGCGCAGGTGCAGTCGCTCCATGCTTCATCTGTGCTCTCCGCTCGCCACAGAGGAATTTCTCCTCGCATTTGGTGAGCGGCTTTTTCAAGCCCTGGTGTATTATACCATCTAATTAGTGCGGCTAAAGGGCTCATTACCAAATTTTGGCAGGTACAGGAGCCCTCAACAGTGAAGGATTGGATAAATAGGATCGAGTATATAAGATAGAGGAGTTATACCATATAGATGAAGTTAAAATGGAAAAATTTAGAAAGGAAGGGGATAGATGGTACGACGACTTTAAGACATCTAAAACATATCTGGAAGTGGTGGGAGTCCCAGGTAGTCTGAGGTAGGTGGATTTAAGTTGAACAACTGGAGGGGCGCATATGAAGTTAAGAGAAAGGAGAGGGGGGAGAGAAGAAGAGAAAATGGAGGAAAAAAAAAGAGAAAAAGGAAACGGGAAAAGAAAGGAAGGTGAGAAAGAGAGAGGCAAGAGAAAAGGAGGCGTAGAAGGAGAGGACAAGGATAGGAAAATGAAAGAGAGGAAAAAAAAGGGACAAGAAAATACGGAAGGAAATAGAAGGTAAGAACTACATGGACAGGGGCAATTTAATGGGAGGGACGGGATAAGGGTAGGAGAGGACGGGGACAGATAATTTTGGTGAAATGTATGTTTTTTTGTTAATATAAATATGATATAATGTTGATTTATGAATTGGAAAAAACTTAATAAAATATGTAATTTAAAAAAAAAAGAAAAGAGAATTCTGTGGTTGATGCATGGTTGCTGCGGCCTCATCCCTTGATCTCCAAATCGTTTTGCTTAGGCCACCAAAACATTGGAGGGAAAGTCTTTATGTAAATAGCATGTCAGTTTAGAGACTTCATTAGTATTTCAGCAAAGGTAGTTAAGGACTTATGTCAACATGCGTTCTTGCAAATGCTGCAGACAAGAAAAGGTTGCATGTGATCCAATTTGCCTGCAGATCAAACACACCTTATTATTAAATGCTGCTTCCAAAGAAACAAAGAACAGTGCAGATCAGGTCACACGTAGCCTCTGAACTGACGTGTAGTACTCAATTATATCAGTAAAGTGTTCAGTTAGAATCAGATAAACCCTAATGACTCCAGAACCCCTCCATCCATGTTATATAGATAAGGAGGAGTCCTGTAGTCCTATCATATATTCTTTGTTAGGGTGACAACTGATTTTCCTTAGATACAGTTCAGTGAGTAAGCCTTGTCACCCTAGGACAGGAAGTATTTTACTGGCGGGTTCACCGGGTGAATAGGAGGAAACAAAGCCTAAGAAAATGCAGCCACCACATCTAAAAACTTTTATTTTTGCTCTTGGATTTAGCTAACTCACAAGTGGACTACTAATATTTTTATGTTTTAATAAAAAACAAAATTAGTGGGCATATACTATATACGAAATACAGGCCCTTGCTAGTTACTTCATAGAACCTTACTGTCATGACTGCTGCTAGAAGTACCTTCCCATATTTCCCACCTCGAAGATCTGAGGACTCTGAACTTGCGGAATAATGTAAGTATTAGGGCCTGTGTGGACAGGCTTTTATTTGCATCAGATGGGTTTTGCATTCCCGCAGAACTCTGTAAGAATTCAAAATGGTCTTGATGGAGGTCAGCTGCAGGGTCGAGTGCACCTGACAAAGAAAAGGGTCTCGGAGAGAGAATGTGTGTGTGATGGTGGTTGGGGGTGTGGGGGGGAGTTCAGACTCATCCCATTTACAAAATGATCCAAAAACATTGACTATAGTTTTCATGTAAGCTAAAATTCTTATTGCAGTAATTAATGATACTGAATGGATTCCATTTTAATGTTAATATTTTTTTTTTCATATGATTTTGTTTTCTGAAAAAGGAACCTCATCCTCCTCGGTTATCTGCAGAGGAAGTGCTAATGAGACAGACTAAACTTGACAATGCACCACTGAATTTATTCCAAAACCTCACAGAGATTAAATCATTTTTCATAAAGGTAACCTAGCTATAAAAACAGAGAAATGCATTCCCTTAAAAGCTGAATTTAGGATTATACAGTATATGAGCAGATGTTTGTCTTTTATTTTTTGCTTTGTTCCCCTTTCCTACTGTTTTCATCCTTATTATGATATAATCTTTATTTGGTGGAAAACTTCTGCTTTTATTTTCCAGGGAATCAGCGATGACATCCCTATTGTTAAAGCCATTGTCCCAAAGAGTCAAATGCGTTCCTTCATAACTCAGGGAAGTTCAGAAACGCTGGTGAGTTTTTCCTTTGATTTGTGGTTTTGCTAACATTTGAATTGGCTATATTAGTCTAAAGCACTGTTTCTCAACCTTTTTTCAGTCAAGGCACCCTTTAAAATTATGGACAATTTCAAGGAACCCATTCTAAAATAGTTTTACATAACACAGCAACATCCACACACATAGGATACCCAACATTAGAGGTGATTTATTTTTCTAAAGCAAATACACCTTTGCACACTGGTACTGACTAGTATTCCAATGTTTCTCATCTTCCTCAGTTTCTGTCAGTCATTCAGCTAATGTGACCCCGGTCGTGATGGAGAGGAGCAGAGGAGGGCCTGATGTCCTCCTTATCAACCCATGACATCATTGGTTGTTAGGACACCAACAACTAGGTTATAATGGTGTACAATGAAAACCTGTCTTTGTGTAACTAAAAGGCTGGCCTTATCCACCCACTGGCTTGTATACATTTTTTGGCTATTTTTAGGAATTTTGCCAAGGCACCCCTGAAGGAGCTTGAAGGCACCCCAGGTTGGCTGGGCACCCTGGATGAAAAAGACTGCTCTAAAGCACTGTTTTTCAACCTTGTTCCATTCAGGGCACTCTTGAAAAGTATGTTCAGTCTTGAGGCATCCCAGCCTAAGGCTTGGTTCACATTACTACATGTTGAGGAACACACTGCTCTTTAGCAGACAAGTACAGGTGTCCTTAATTCTTAACTGTACCCCCATGCATTAGCAAACACAGTGCATTTTTTTGTGGTGTCATTTTTAGAAAAAAAGGCCCAGGATTTCTTTCCCTGTGTTTCTACAGTTAGGGAAGCCCATTGAAATGAATTTACAGCCGCCCAGATGTGAACCAAGGGCTCGCTCACACGTGCGGTTGGGGGGTGGTAAAACAAAGCGGGCGAGCCATATGTTTACCACGTCAACTGCTCTCCATTTAGCTACAGTGGCAACAGCTTGGGACGTACACATGCTGTGGCCACGGCTGGACGTATACCCCCAGGTGAATGGGGCTGCTCTGCGCCCTTGCTTGCAGCACAGTGGTGCTGCATTTAGGGAGTTAATGAGCTGCAGTCCTTGCCGCTATTATGAACATACATACATACACACACACACATATACATACACACATACAGTATATACATACACACACCTACACTCACACAGCCTTTGTAACCACTTGCGCTCCTGAGGATTCCCCCCCCCCTTCCTGACCAGGACATTTTTTGCGTTGCGACGCTGCGTTACTTTAATTGACAGTTGCGCAGTCATGCAACGCTGTAAGCAAAAAAAGACTGACAATTTTGAGAAAAAAAAACAATATTTTGGACTTTTTGCTATTAAACATGTCCAGTAAAAAAATTTTAAAAATCAAATTTCTTCATAAATTTAGGCCAAAATGTATTCTGCTACATGTCTTTGCTAAAAAGAAATCCCAATACGTGTAACTTAATTGGTGTACATGAAAGTTATAGCATTTACAAATAGCGGTAAAGATACTGGGATTTTTAAAATTTATTTTGTACTAGTAATGGCAGCGATCAGCGACTTTTAGCGGGACTGCGGCAGACATTCTGACACCCCAGTGACACCAACCAATACAGTGATCAGTGCTAATAAAAAGCACTGACATTGTACTAATGGCACTGGGCAGGAAGGGGTTAATATGAGGGGCGATCAAAGGGTTAACTATGTGGTGGGAGTGTTTTACTACGGGGCAAGGTGTGCTTTACTGTAAGCACACTGATCAAGACGGCTGTGCTGGTCTACAGCAGTAGACAAATTTGATTTGAATGGACATAAGCTGGCCATAGAAGGATCGAAATTCAGCTGGGACCAGACACATTTTGATCAGTATGTGACCGTCCCTGTTCAACAGAAGTAGATTGTTAGAATCAAATTTTCAAGTTGGAAAACTGTTGACGATCAGTGGTTGCAACTGCTGATCTGTGTATTTTGACAGCCCCAGGTGCAGTTGTCAGAATGCCATGTCCCAATGGTAGGGGTTCCTCCATCCACCTTGTGTGCGTGGATGGAGGAATCAGTACATTTTTTTCCCTTCTCCCAGCACCTTAGTGATGGTGGACCTTGAAGTACTTAGGGCTATGCAATTCTGGCTTTGTGAGACTTGTGTTCCCTGATAGCCCTGGTTGCTATTTCGAGAAGCACAAATTTTAGACAGGTCACAAGACAGGTGCCATTCTCCATGCTGGAGCTATGTGAATGGGTGGGCACCCTTTTCTTCATTGCATCAGGGGGCTGCCTAACGTAGAGCTATGATGTATAGCACACATCTTTGGCAGTCAAAGGATTAGAGAGACATGTGAAAATAAGTAAAGGTGCGATATAAGGTTTTCACATGTAAACACAGTATCCTTATTGCTCAACACAAGACACATTGGGGGAGATCTACTGAAACTGGTGCACACAAAATCGGGTGCATCTGTGCATAGGAACCAATCAGCTTCCAGGTTTTATTGTCAAAGCTTGAACAAGCTGAAGTTAGAAGCTAATTGGTTACTATGCACAGCTGCACCAGATTCTGTGTGCACCAGTTTTAGTAAATCCCCACCATTGTGACCTGTGGACTTGGCATGCCCTATCTGTAGCACATAATGTGCCCAGTATTGTGTTTTCCATTAATCTGACATTTTTGGCTTTGACTTCGCAGCATAGAGGTATTGTCACATATATAGATGTTCATTTATCTATCATTCCGCTTAGCGTCATTGTTCATTTGGCAGTAAGTTACCTTTGGGGGCTTGATGCTTTATGATCATACTTACATTTGATTTTTATTGTGTTGCATTTTGACCATGTGTTTTAGTGTTTCCAGACATCTTAGGTTTCATGGGAATTTCCAAGTGGTGTTGACCTTGCTGTCACAATCTTAACTATACAATGGCATTTTTTAGGTTTAGGGTGTCATGCAAGTAGTAAAAGAAAGGGGGCGCACCGACCTAGCACATCACCAAAAATACCATTTATTAAAATAGGTCATATACTCACAAACACGTATTATATACAGGCATATATAAGGATGCAGACAAGACCACCTCTAGATCCACGGTACCAAGCCAGTGGTATGGGAAGTCTCCATAGTGTCCTGAGGCTTACTAGTTTCTAGGGACAGACCCTCTTCTTTAGAGCCAAAGTGAGTACCCTTGCATACTAGCTCCAGATTGTCTGTCACTTCCTCCCACATTTTTTTTTTCAGTCTCTTCCTTTAACCATTTCCATACCGGGCACTTTTACCCCCTTCCCTCCCAGGCCATTTTTCAGGTTTCAGCGCTCTCACACTTTGAATGACAATTGTGCGGTCATACAACATTGTACCCAAACTAAAATGTTATCATTTTCTTCACACAACTAGAGCTTTCTTTTAGTGGTATTTAATCACCGCACTGGGGTTTTTATTTTTTGCTAAATTAACAAAAAAAGACCGATTCTGCTACATGTCTTTGGTGAAAATAACCCAAATTAGGATGTATTTTTTAGTTTGTAGGAAAGTTATAGAGTTCACAAACTACTATGGTATAGATCTGAATATTGATCAATCCTGAAGTACTGACAGCCAATCTAATTTCTTAAGGTCCAAGAATGTCAGAACATTACAGATATCCCCCAATGACCCCTTTTGCAAAGTAGACAGTCCGACGTACTTCATAAGAGGCATGGCGAGTTTTTTGAAGTTGTATTTTTTTTGTCATAATTTTTCGGAAAATGAAAAAAGTTAAAAAATTCTTTTCACTATTTTTTTTTTTACATACTGTCACCAGTGCAGTACAGCGACATATTATAACTGGCATGGCGGTGATCATGAGAAATGAAAGCATATTCCTTCGAAACGACACTTAAGCTGTTACATATCTAACATTGAGGCATTCTATAAAATGGATGCCAGTTTAAAGATACATCTCCTTAGACCCACAGTTCTGAGAGGGCAGCAAGACTTTTGTCACCATGCCAGCTAGCTACACAAGCGGACTACACCCTTAAGCCCCGGTACCTGAGCGCAGGAGGTTGTACTGTTGTCATGCAAGTCGACCATTGTATGTTTCAATAAACTTTGGATATTTTTACATTTATCCCTGATTAGCATTTGTTGTTTTCATTGTTTACTCATTTTGAGATACTTGCATTTACAAAAATTAATTTATTAAACTTTGCCCTGTGGGGTTCTATCTTGTACTTTTATTTTGTGAATACATTGCCTATGCTTTTCCTGACCCAGTGTGCCACTGGGGCTCTGAAAAATATCCAATACTCCCAGGTATGGGGGGGGGGGGTTCTTGTTACACTGGCCAGCAATGGCGGACTCTGTAATTCCTTAGTAAGCACATTTGGAGCATCAGATGCGACGTCTCACCAAATGCTACGAATAGATCTTGTTTAAAACTAGAAGCACCTCAAAATGTTTTACAGCTGTCTGTTGTAACCTTTATGTAACAGATCCAGTTTTCTTTGTGTTTATCTGATTAGGTGACAATAAATCAAAATCTAATCATTGGAACTCATGGATGGTTGCCTTATGACAAGAGTATTTCCAATTATTTTACCTTTACAAAGGATCAGACTGTGACTAATCAAAAGTAAGTGAACTGTGGGACCATTTGATTGTGGCAGAATTACCTAGCCATTGTTGTCTATGAACAATTAAACATACACTAAATGTTGCCTCTCACATGATTCTAAAGCGTAAAATGTACCTGATGTTTCCTCCTAATGACAGAACCCAGCGTTTTGTGTCCGGTCCATTCGCTCCTGGACTTGTGATTATCTCCAAACTGTTCGTGGTGTCTCATGATGGGAAAGTGCTGTTCAGTGGAGGCCACTGGGATAACAGTATTCGAGTGACATCACTGACAAAGGGCAAAGTTATTGGACAACACATTCGTCACATGGGTGAGAATTAGCAGCCTCTTCTCTGTTTATATGCTTTAAAAAAAAAAAAAACTCCAGTCAGCCATAAAAGAAGTGCATATTTTTTCAGTATCTTTTTTTCACAGTTAAGTGTTAAAATGCTTTTTTCATAAAACATTGGAAGGTAACCGGAGAATATAAAATGTTTAAATAAATATCTAGAATTTACCATTTTAGTCACTTGATGTGGTTATTACAATGAATTTTTACCATCACACACATAATAGTATACTTATTATATAGTTTAGTATACTTAGGCTCCATTCACACCTGGGCATTTTGAATCATGGGCATAATCGCTGGGATTCTGCCCGTGATTTCAAAACGCTCTGCTAAAATGAGAAATTGCACAATGCGAATTTCAGATGCCGTTCATTTTAATGGCAACTAAAAATGTGGTGCACTTCTGCTGCGATAAATCGTGACAGAAGTGCACCACGTTTTTAGGTGCCGTTAAAATGAATGATATTTGACATTCACATTGTGGGATTTGTCATTTTAGCAGAGCCTTTGAAACTGCAGACAGAATCCCGGCGAGTCTGCCTGTGATTCAAAATGCCCAGGTATGAATGGAGCCTGAATTTATTAGAAGCTCTTTTTTTTTTTTCAACCGAATTATGTACCAAAGTTTGTGTGGAGGTAGGGGGGTAGGTTACAAATCATGCACACCTTCCATGCTTTGCTCTTCCCAGAAGTGTTACCCACATACATCCTATTGTCTTCTATTCTTACAGCATTAATTCCTTGTTAAAAAAAAAAAAAAACAATGTTATTACAGGTTGTTTTGGCAGCCTCACTTTAGTTTAAACCTACAAAGTTTAATCTAGAATTTAAAACAAACCAAAAAAATATGACAAGGATGTTGGATGACTATAGAGCTTGTTTTTTTGTTATTTCTTGATTTTAGTGTAGCATAATATATTCATACTCAACACATATATATATTTAAACATGTCTGTTAATGTACAGTAAACCAAAATAAAAAATGTAATATACTGCATTTACCAGTTCCCAGATGTGATGCCTGACTTTGACAGGCTGGATGCTGCACCTGTTCCTCCTGGGTGCACTAAAAAACTGGGAGGAACACATAGCAGCTAGACACCCCTGTGTGCAAGGGACCTTAAAGCGGTGTTAATCCTAAAAGCAAACATTTATTATACTGCAGCTTACCAATTCTTAGATGCAATGGTTGCATTAGTTTTCTTTTTAATTCATTTGCCACTGACAGGGGTGCATACAATAATCACCTTTTATTTATTCATGTAAAACCTTTATCCCAAGAGGAAAAAAAAAAAACTGTTGCTGTAACAGCAGTGTGCGTTGTTGATAAGCTGCAATATATTACATTTTTGTGTTTAATACCACTTTAAGGACTTACAGTATATACAATGGATAATTAATGTGTTTCTTAGCTTGAAGTTTGCCTGTGTTTTATCTCTCTGATAGACATTGTGACGTGCCTTGCTACGGATTACTGTGGTATACATCTCATATCTGGGTCTCGAGATGCAACGTGCATGATCTGGCAAATCTCACAGCAAGTGAGTACTAAGTTCTCTCTATTTAGTATTTGTCTGGCACTGGATTTCTCTTTGGCTCAGGTTCGAAATCATCTAATATAGGCTGGCTACAAAATACTATATTTACTGAGAAACGTTAAAGCTGAAAGTAAAAACATGGGATTGGAATTGAATATAATCAAAATGAAGATAATGAACACAATATGATGAAGAGTTTTGAGCTTGGTGGCGATAGAATAGACATTGTAAAGCATTTTAATCTTCTGGGCTCTTTCATAAACAAAGAAGCAACTAGTAGTGACAAAATACTCCACAGAATAGCACTTGGTAGCCACACAATGAAGACTCTTGACATAGTATTCAAAAGTAAAAAAAAGTTACACTCAAAACAAAAATCAGACTTGTCCATACACTAATTTCCTAAGGTTTCAATTACGGCTGTGAAAGCTGGACACAACGAAAATGAGACAGAGAGATTGACTGGAGAAGGATTTTATGCGTGCCGTGGACAGCTGATGGAACTAATAGATCAATTTTGAAAGAGATCAAACCAGCTATGTCACTAGAAGTCCAACTGTCCTATTTTGTTCACACTATTAGATAAGAAAGATCACTGGAGAAGGAAATAATGTTTGGAAAGATCGAAAGCACCAGAGGGAGACCAGCTTCTAGCTGGTTGGACACATTGACTACAGCTGTGGGGATGGTAGATCTCACCAAACTAGCACAACTTTTTTTTTTTTTAAATCTCTCATTCTTGAAGTCGCAAGAACTCAGACCCGAGTTGACAGCACTTTAAAAAAAAAAAAAAAAAAAAATCATGCCACAATCCTTTGGCCTACCCTAAAAAAACAACAACAAACACTTGATATTAGAAGTGCTTGTTATCACACAAAGAGATTTTAAATGTGTTTGGAAAATTTGCATACAAAATCCAGAAATGCTTCTGCTAAATCTGAATATAGATTCACCACCTAAAGGGTGAAGAGGGAAAGTCCCTCAGGCACTTACTGAATGTAGTTAGAATCTGAAAACATGTAACCTGCCCAGTTCCCTCTTCTAAAGTTGGGCACACATGTAACAATCTGATTTTACAATCTTTTTTAGATATACCAGCAACAAGGACCTGCTTGTTGCCATAGAAGTTGAATGGGTTGGCATAGAAGTTGAATGGATTGTTTTGGTAAACTCTCATATAAATATGGTAGATATAAGACAGACAGCACAATCAGATTGTAAGGTTAATGGTCAGTTTAAGTGGCACAACTAAATGATTATCGGGAATCCCCACAAAATAAAAAATGTCCAGGTGATGATCAAAATACATTTTAGTGATTCCATATATGTATTGTACATCAATCTGTGAGAGATAGGAGTAAAATAGCTGGAAAGGAAACATGGAAAATCGCCTTGTACAGATACCTGTAAATCAGCTACTGTTTTGTTGTCTCTGTGTGGTGACAATTACCCATATAGACTATCTTTGTCTTGCTAATTAAGTTTTATTTCTTTCTTTCTTCAGGGTGGTGTTTCTGGTGACCTGTCCGCTAAACCTTTGCAGATCTTGTATGGACACACAGATGAAATCTCTAGTGTAGCCATTAGCACTGAGCTAGACATGGCTGTTTCTGGTGCCAGAGTAAGATTTTTTATAATATTTTTTTTTTTAAACCCAATTGAACCTTTATTTTAAATCTGTTTAATACATTTAGGAGCATCAAAACAAAAGGTGCCCAAAGTATTACAGTCTGAAAAGGAAAGCCTTTCCCCTGCCAGTATGTTGTAGAAAAGGACCTTTGCTCTCTATATGGAAGCAGTGGTCTCTCTGCAGGTCCGACACTCTCCCTGCTCCTATAGTTCACACTTCCTGCTAACTGGCTATCTCTAGCTGTTACTCACAGATGCTTTATGAAGGAAATAAGAGTTTGTTCTGGTGCATCTGGAATGTTTTTAGCTGAAGTCACAATTCATTTAGGCATTAATAATCATTTTAATATCATACTAAAAGCAATCCAAAGTGATCCATTTTCACACTGATGTACTAACAGAAAATTGAATTCATTTTGCCTTCTATGACAGGATGGAATAGTGATTATCCATACAATCCGACGAGGCCAGTACATGAGGACACTGAAGCCACCAAGTGATAGTACTCTGGTCATGACTATTCCCAATATAGCTGTGTCAGAGGATGGACATATTGTCATCCACAGCAGCCTGGAAGGCAAAGCAACCCTTAAGGTATGTTATTGATTAATTTCCTAGATTGTAAGCTTGAAAGAGCAGGGCCCTTGATCCCCTCATGTTTTGCATTGTATTGGTATTGTTCTGTCACATGTTCTGTCCCCCTTTGTAATGTACAGCGCTGAGCGAACTATTGGCGCTTTATGAATACTGTATAATAATAATAATAATATTGTGTAATAGTCTTTATGGCTGAACTTCCATATAACAAAATACAATTTAATGTAGTTATGTATTGATTATAAAATCAATAAAGTTATTTTCTAAATTCAAGCTAGCACCTAAAAAATAGGATTTTCACACTTACTGTAAAAAAGTTTTCATGGGGTCCATTGAAGAACACAAAAAGTCTTTAATCTTTTGGTTATGCTACTAAGAAGGAATGGACACTGGAAAACAAAAACACTGTAGGCCAGCCACCCTGCCCCCTACTACCAGCATGCTTGAGTTTTGTAGCAAAGAAGTACCTAGAATACAATTATAAACATATAGGGGTGAGACCTGTGTCCCATAATGGACTCCAAGAAAAGGATTGTATGGTGAGTACAAAAATCCTGTTCTCTTTCTCATCCATTGAGGAACACAGTCTTTAATCTTCATGATGTCCAAAAGCAGTCCAGCTGATAACTGGACATTACAGCAACAATAACACCCAGGAAAAAAACTGGGGACTTCATGCAGGTCAAAGAGCTGCCTGAAGAACCTTTCACCTGGAAGTTGACATCAGATGAGGCCTCAAAGCCCACCTTGGAGAACGTGTAAACAGAAGACCAGGCGATAGCCTTGCAAATCTAGTAAACAGTGGGCTAATGCTGAAAAGCCCAAGAAGAACTCACAGATCTAGTAGAGTGTACCTTAACCGGAAACAAGGGAATCTGATCCTTAAGACTATAAGCTTGTATGATGGTCTGCCTTGGCCAGCTGGATATTATGAAAAAAAAACAGGCTGCTGCACCTGTATGAGGTCTATCTGGAATGGAAAAGGAAATCAATGTTCTTGAAAGAAGCAGTGGCTGATAGACTACTATAGTCTGAATCACAACCACACAGTTGAGGAAAATTGTCTCGGTGAACTGAAGCCAGACAGAGGGACAGAACAACAATATCCTGGTTGAGGAGAAAGGCAGAAATTACCTTAGGGAAGAAGGAAGACCTGGACCTCAACACCAGAAAGGGTTCCTTGCAGGATAAGACCACCAGTGTTTGCCAAGTGTCTTACCAAAACGCCTTACCACATCCTCCTGTGCCACTCCTGATATTGATTCTGTGAAAAAAGTGGAACGGGTATTTGGCGCACTCCAAGAAGGGTTAAAAATGGTATATGTGGAAAGGACTAAAAATGGAAAACAATTATCATATTATGATGAAAATATATGTGTGTAAGACACTACCGTATTTGCCGGCGTATAAGACGACTGGGCGTATAAGACGACCCCCCTACTTTTCCTGCTAAAATTTAGTGTTTGAGCTATACTCGCCGTATAAGACTACCCCTCTTCCAATGCACACCAGTGGCAGGAATAGTGCCCCATCATTGGTATCAGTGGCAGGAATAGTGCCCCATCATTGGTATCAGTGGCAGGAATAGTGCCCCATCATTGGTATCAGTGGGAGGAATAGTGCCCCATCATTGGTATCAGTGGGAGGAATAGTGCCCCATCATTGGTATCAGTGGCAGGAATAGTGCCCCATCATTGGTATCAGTGGCAGGAATAGTGCCCCATCATTGGCATTAGTGGCAGGAATAGTGCCCCATCATTAGTATCAGTGGGAGGAATAGTGCCCCATCATTGGTGTCAGTGAAAGGAATAGTGCCCCATCATTAGTATTAGTGGGGGGAATAGTGCCCCATCATTGGTATCAGTGGCAGGAATAGTGCCCCATCATTAGTATCAGTGGGGGGAATAGTGCCCCATCATTGGTGTCAGTGGGAGGAATGGTGTCCCAACATTGGTGTCAGTGGGAGGAATGGTGTCCCATCATTGGTGTCAGTGGGGGTGGAATAGTGCCCCATCATTGGTGTCAGTGGGGGGGGGGAATAGTGCCCCATCGTTGATGTCAGTGGGGGGGGGGGAATAGTGCCCCATCGTTGGTGTCAGTGGGGGGGAGGAATAGTGCCCCATCGTTGGTGTCAGTGGGGGGGAGGAATAGTGCCCCATTGTTGGTGTCAGTGGGGGGAAGAATAGTGCCCCATCGTTGGTGTCAGTGGGGGGGAGGAATAGTGCCCCATCATTGGTGTCAGTGGGAGGAATAGTGCCCCATCGTTGGTGTCAGTGGGAGGAATAGTGCCCCATCATTGGTATCAGTGGGAGGAATAGTGCTCCATCATTGGTATCAGTGACACCAATGATGGGGGGCACTATTCCTCCCACTGACACTTGCTGACCCTGTTCTCGTATGGTGCTGCTGCAGCCAGCATATGTGGTTGCAGCAGCACCTCTACACTGACCACTTACCTGCTGGTCCTGCACTCGATTTTCGCGGGGCCGCTCGGCTCCACCCCCTCGCCGGTGATTGGCCGCCTGTGTGCCTTTCCTGAGCTACAGTTCTGGCGGCCAATCACTGGTGAGGAGGCGGAGCCGAGCAGCCGCACGAACATCCAGTGGCCGAACTGAAGGCGCAGCCGAACTGAAGGCGCAGCCGCACTTCCTGGACCGGATCGTCGTGGGACCGGAACCAGGTAAGAAACAGACGCTGCCCACCCCTGTACTTAGTGTCCCTTCCATTGGGGGAGGGGGGGGGGGGGGGCGGCGGCGGCAACGCGCCGCCCCCCTAAAAAATGTCAGTATGCCGTATACCGGCGTATAAGACGACCCCCGACTTTTGAGAAGATTTTCAAGGGGTAAAAAGTCGTCTTATACGCCGGCAAATACGGTGTATATATATATATATATATATATATATATATATATATATATATATATATATATATATATATATATATATATTTTTACTGGAAGGCAGTCAGCCAGTGAAGAGCTAGAGATAGCCCTGTGGGAAATCAGAAAAAAAGAAGGCGGCGCCCTCTAAGTGCAGCATAAAACTCTTTAATATGGCTAAAAGTATATATAGCACAGGCCACTCACAAAAGTATGGTGGAAAAACGCTTGTGATCTGAAATAATGGTAGGCATCCACTGTGTGAAGGGACTTGAACCTCTATACGTGCAGGAAGGTCCGGTGTTGGGCAGCAAAGCTGGTGGCTTCCGGCATATCCTTTGAGTTCTGGGATTCCCTCTGAACGGAGAAGAGGTCACTTCCGATCACCTCCCCCCCCTCATATCACATGATCATAAGTGACGTCTTCTCCATTCACAGGGAATCCCGGAACTCGGAGGATATGCTGTAGGCCACCAGCATCGCCTCCGAACACCGTACCTCCTGCACATATAGAAGCTCGAGCCCCTTCACACAGCGACCATTATTTCAGATCACAAGCGCTTTTCCACCGTACCTTTATGAGTGACCTGTACTATACATACCTTAAGCCATATTAAAGAGTTTTATGCTGCACTTATAGGGTTCCGCCTTCTTCTTTTCTATTGATTCTGTGAAGCAGATGAGAAAGAAGTTTCAGGAAGGAAAGGTATAGATCAGGTGTACTGATCCCACAGAACCACCAGAGCATCCACTGCTTCTGTGAGAGGATCCCTGTATCTGGGGTCAAACCTCTCCAGTTTGTGGGCTTTAGTGATTGTGAACCTCACATCGGTATCAACTCCTTCATATGCCTTGATAAATCCATGAATGACATGACTACATATTAAACATCCCTATCCAGCAACATGTTTTAACAGATAAAGTAATAATGTCAGTCTCTGTGTTATTCTTTTTGTATCCATCCCAGACTATAAGTATAGCTTGAAGGTAAATTTTGAGTATATATGGCTGCTTCAATTTTCAGTATCCCAATTTAAAGCCATCATTTTGACAATTTTCTACATAGCCTCATTAATATAACAGAGCACCATTTTACTTTGTTCTTGCTGTGTGGCAGTGGATTGTGGTTTAATAGTATGTGTATTTCTAATTACAGAACAGGAACTCCTTGCATCTGTACAGTGTAAATGGAAAGTACTTAGGCTCTGAGAGTCTGAAGGAGCAGATACTGGACATGTGTGTGACTGGGGAGAACATTGTGACTGGTAGTCGCCAGGGACTTCTCTCCATACGTGATCTATACAGGTATTCTGAATTTCCAAAGAAAGATATTTCAGATGGAAAATAAAAGTTGTGGTCTTTTACAAGTGCTTGGGTATGTGAGAATGAGGCTTAACTGGAATAGAGATAAAAAAGAATTCTATTGTATAGAACTTCTTATACTATCAGAGGACCCATATGTTTTTTTTTTTTGATCACCAATTAAATGATCTGCTTTATATATAAACAGGCTTCTGAAATAACCTAAGCAGATCCTCTACACCGGGGCTTAGCAACCAGTAGATCACTGCCAGGTAACTGGTAGATCACAGTCTGGGCTTGCTGACCCGCCATCCCAAAGCATCAAACAGAGTGCAATGCAGAGGGACTACTTGTAAAGTTGGAGATGTAGTAGGGAGCAAGAGCCGCATAAGACGATGCCTCCTCTGTAGTGCTGGCTCCTGTCCTGTGATACCAACTGCACTCCACTTATCCTGGTTAGCGCTGTCCAGAGTGGTGCTAGAAGCAGGAAAGAAGAGATCGTCAGGTCAGTGTGAAGCAATACACTGGACATAATAGTATAGGACTGCTTTCACACTGATGTGCTGCAGTTTACCCACACCGCGGTTGCAGTGCAGTGTACCTGCAGACTGCAGCTTTCCTACGGGATAGCTAAACTTTGCCAAAAACTAATATTATATTCTGCGGGTTTGGAGCACTTTCTGAAAGCATGCCACACTGGCAGAATATAATAGTAGCTTATGGCAAAGCGCAGCTAACCTAGGAAAGTTGCAAATGCGCTGCACCCGTGGTGCAGGTAAATCGCAGCACATCATTGTGAAAGCAGCCTTTTGGGGGCTCAGAATATTTAAGTGTTCATTTACATTTGCAGTTTGGGGGGTAAAATGCCATAGTTAAGATGTGTTTTAACCATCCCTGCCCCAACCGCGCCCTCTTAAGCTGCAGTTGCCAGGGGTGTACACATGTTGCAGCTGCAGCAGGAGTTATTTACCGTTATGGTTCATGGGTGTAGCACCTACCAAGCATGGCCAATTCAAGTGAATAAGGCCGCTCTGCAAGTGCCCTCCAACCTTGTGCAGTACAGCAAACAAGGGGATAAAGTAGGCAGCATTGTGTTGCTTTCCCACCACCTGCTTTAATCCCTTGAACCATGCAGAAGCATGCAGATGCAGGGCGGTTGCAGAGTGGCCCCATTTACTTGAATGTGTAATGATTGGCAGGCAGTAGCACCCACCAAAAGCAACAAGGAGTTTAATTCCTGCTGCTGCATGTGTATACCTTTGGCTGCTGCCTCAGCAGCAAAAGGGGGTAGGGTGCCACTGCCAAATGCAACTAAGGGCTTATTCACAAGTGCAGCTGGCAGTGCTGCTCCTCTGAAAAGCGATCCAAGTGTGTTTGACCAGTGGTGAGGAAGCAATATGTTGCCTCCTCACCACCTGATTTAAACCCATGATTGCAGTGTAATGCATGCAATTGTGACAGCAATTAAGGGTTTAAATCAGTTATGAGTTGTGCGACGCTGTGCCTAGTGCTCTTTGACTTTTCCCAGGTTGTTTAGGTAGATCTCCACTTCGTTAAGGTTGCCTACCCCTGCTCTACAGTTTGAAAACATTTGTCCTCAATGCACGAGACCCATTTCTACTATACCACTAGATGAGCCTTTTTCAACTGGGGTGGCGTTTCTTCAGGGGTGACAAAATTCCTAATAATTGTCCAATAATTGTCAACATGCCGGCGGATGGATTAAATCTGCCTTTTTTGTTACACAAAGCCACAGGTTCTATTGTTCAGCATTACAGCCTTGAGCACTGTGCAGGCCATCTGCCTGCGTCTTAACAACCGATGACATCATCAGTTGATAAGGAGCACGTAGGGCTTGTCCAGCATCCCTGTTTACCTTTCTCCTGCCTCTCTTTATCAGCACTAGGGTTACGTTGGCAGCGTGAGGGAGATGAGGAAAATGAATACTAGCCAGTACCAGTGTGCCAAAGTATATTTGCATTGTAGAAATTAATCCTATGTGTGTTCTTTTTGTGTGGATGTTGCTGCAATATGTAAAACTATTAGTTTAGATTTTTACATTTTAGTATGGGGTGCCTTGAGATTGTGCAAAATTTTAGCTACCTCAATACTGGGTACTTTCACCCCCTTCCTGCCCAGACCGATATTCAGCTTTCAGAACTATCGCACTTTGAATGATAATTACTCAGTCATGCAGCACTGTACCCTTATGAAATTGTTATCATTGTTTTTGAGACAGACAGAGCTTTCTTTTGGTGGTATTTTATCACCATTGGGTTTTTTATTTTTATTGCGCTATAAATGAAAAGACCGCAAAATTTGAAAAAGGAATGTTTTTCTTTCTAAAATTTTGCAAATAACTAATTTTTCCTAATAAATTGTAATCACAATTTATATTGCTACATTTATTTGGCAAAAAATAACCCAAATCAGTATATATTATAAGGTCTGTGTGAAAGTTATAGAGTCTACAAGCTATGGTACCAATCATTTGATTACACCTGATGTACTGATGGCTCATCATTTTTTGATGCCCTAACATGCCAGGACAGTACAAATACCTCCCAAGTGACCCCTTTTTGGAAAGCAGACAGTCTGAGGTTTTTAGTAAGAGGCATAGCAAGTATTTTGAAGTCTTTTTTTTTTTTCCACAATTCTTTGGAAAATGAAGAAATTAAATAAAATGTGTTTTTTCCACAAAAACGTCATATTAACAAGTTATTTCTCACACATGGCATAGGCATACTTGCAACTACACCCCAAAACACATTCTGCTACTTCTTTTCCAACATCCAAGGAAAGCCTTCAGGTGTTATCCACTTTAAGACCAGGCCACCTTCTGACACTTTTTGTGAAAATCAGTATTTTGCTAGAACTTAGAACCCCCAAACATTATATATATTTTTTTTGCAGAGGCCCTAGAGAATAAAATGATGTGTTTTGCAAATTTGTATGTCACATGGTATTAATACAATTTTACATACCAACGCAAAAATACACTTTCATATATTTTAATGCACACAAACACAATATAATACCCAAGTTTTTTGTAAAATATAAAATATGGTGTTGGACCAAGTAAAAACATACCAAACATGTCACGGTTTAAACATGCACACGCTTGTGAAATGGCGCCAAACGTTGGTATTTGAAAATCTCCATAGGCGACACTTTATAAGCCTTTGCAGGTTACCAGTTTAGAGGTATAGAGGAGGTTTGGTGCTATAATTATTGCTCACGCTCTGACGTTCGCGGCAATATCTCACATGTATGGTGCAATCGGCGTTAACTTATACGGGACCGATGGATGCGCTAGCCTTTGCACGTGAGCATGGGGGGATGGGGGCGCTTTAAATTTTTTGGTTTATTGGTGGGACACTGACAGATGTGCACTTGTACACTCTGATAGATTTTGATCGTACACCGGTGGACACCGACAGATGTTGATATTGCAATGGAACACTATTGCAGATGTTTTATGCATTGGTACATTGTGACAGATGTTGATGTGACACTGATATACTGTGGCAGATGTTGATTGAACACTATTACACTGTGATAGATGTTGGTGTGACACTGGCACAGATGTTGATGTGACACTTGCACAGGTGTTGATGGGACACTGGCACAGGTGTTGATGGGACACTGGCACAGGTGTTGATGGGACACTGGCACAGGTGTTGATGGGACACAGGGACAGATGGTGCTTGGTGTACTGTGTGGGGATGGCTGCAATCTGTGTGTTCTTTGCATAGCTGAACACGAAAATCATAAGCTATGCAGCGAGCTGTCACAGGCTGCCCCCCCTCACACTGAGCTCTCACTGAGTTCAGTGGGGAAAATAGTTACAGACACACGTGTCTCTGTTTACATTCAGTGATGGCTGTGATTAGACACACATGATCGGTAGGGCCGATCAGAGATCCCATATCCCGATCTGTGATGTGCTGTGTCCGAGAGAGACAGCAATTACAGAATCGTGCTGCTGCGTGGCCCTGAGAGGACATCCAGGAACCTCCACTCAGAATGGGAAAGCCGTTAAAGGGTGTCTTGACTGAAAAAAGGTTGAGAAACACTGCACTAGACAATGTTCCTACAATTGGAATACTTTTGTGTACAGTTAGTCCTACAAATATTTGACTACCAGCAACGTACCTGTATGTTGTCGGACTTCAAGTTCAAAGTTATATCGGGATGATGTCTACAGCTGTAGGCATCCTGGTATTGTTTGTAGAGTCGAAGGTTGGCTTTCTTGTAAAAGCAATCCTCCCCAAATGTAGACAGCGCCATTTTTAAATTGGGAAAGCATCTGAGCACACTGATCTTGGTGTGATCAGATGCTGTTAAGGGCAGAGGAAACATCTAGGTCTAATAGACCTCAGATCTCTCCAAAAAGATGACTTCTCTGCCTGGCTGCCTTACTTTCTCTCTTCTGAAATTCCCACAATCATTCTTGGTGACTTCAACATCCCTGTTATTCTTAACACTCCTGCTACTTCTAAACTCCTAAGCCTAGCCACTTCTTTTGACCTAAAACAATGGACACATGCTTCTACTCACTCGAATGGTAGCTGCTTCGACCTTGTATTCTCCTACCTATGCACTCCCTGCAACCTCACCAACTTTTCTTTTCCTCTCTCTGATCACTCCCTTATGAGCATCACTCTCTCATTGGCTTCCTCCTCGTCTTCCAACTACCAAACAGTTACCCATAGAAACCTTCGCTATTTTAACCCCTCTCTTCTTTTTTTTGGCAACAGATTGTCTCTATGACAAAATCTCAGCCCTGTCCTGCCCCAACCTGGCCACTTCAATCTACAACAGTTCACTGTCATCCATCGTGGACAGATTGGCCCCCTTCACTACACACCGAATTAGGCCCCGACCGCTACAGCCCTGGCAAACAGACAATACCAGAAGCCTCAAAAAACATAGCCGTTTGTGGCGTAAGACTAAGACCCAGCAAGACTTCAACCAATATAAATCTGCCCTTCAAAAATACAACTCCTGTCTCCACACAGCCAAACAGACCTATTTTGTCACTCATTAACACCCTCTCACGCAGTCCCCGTCAACTCTTTTCTACCTTTAATTCTCTACTTCGTCCTTCTTTACCCCCACCCACTAACTCACTCATTGCCCAGGAGATTGCTAATCACTTCAAAAATAAGATTAATACAATTTGTGACGAGATCTCCACTGTACAGACATCTCCCTCACCCTACACTCCTTGTCCACCTGCACAATATATACTTCCCTTGTTTAACCCAGCTACTATAGAGGAGGTTGGTAAAATGTTTTATAAAGCACACCTAACCATCTGTCCCCTGGACCCTGTTCCCTTGAAAATACTATGGTCACCCTCTGGCTCGATCCTTCACTCTTTAACTCATATCTTCAATCTCTCCCTTTCTACTGGCATCTTCCCCAACTCTCTAAAACATGCTCTAGTCACCCCCTTACTTAAAAAGGCCTCGCTGGACCCCACCAATCTTAGCAACCTAAGACTCATCTCCTTACTCCCTTTTGCCTCCAAACTCTTTGAACGTCTATGGTAATGAGGGATTCAGTGAGCGCTAACCAACACAGCAGCTGATACACTAAAAAGGAAAACCATCAACCTTCAAACAAACAATATAAAATAAAATAAAAAATATAAAATCCAGTAATAAATAAATAAAGTAATAAATAAATAAATAAAATCCAGTAATAAAGTAATAAAATAAAAATATTGTTGGTCGCTGCACTATTTATTTTATATTCTTTGAACGTCTAGTCTACAATCGGATGAGCTGCCACCTTATTGAGAATAACCTTCTCGAACCCACAACACTCCACAAAAACTGCTCTTCTAAAACTCACGAACGACTTGCTAACCGCTAAAACTAATGGTCACTATTCCGTACTCTTACTGTTGGACCTCTCAGCTGCCTTTGACACAGTTGACCAACCCCTCCTCCTCAAAAAAAAAAAACTCTATTTACTTGGTCTCTGTGACTGTAGTCTCTGTTGGTTCAAATCTCACCTATCGCACCGCACCTTCAGTGTCACTTACAACTCTACCACCTCCTCTTACAGTCGGGGTCCCCCAAGGTTCTGTCCTTGGACCTTTCCTATTCTCGATCTTCACCTCTTCTTTGGGTCAGCTGATAGCTTCCCATGGTTTACAATATCATTTCTATGCTGATGACACACAAATTTCTCTCCCCTACCCCTCAGCTCACCCCATCAGTTTTCTCACGTATCATCAATATACTAACAGTCATATCAGACTGGATGTCACACTACTTCCTAAGACTCAATCTATCCAAAACTGAGTTCATAATATTTCCTCCCCCACGTGCCTCTTCCCCGATTTCTTGGTCAGGATCAATAGCACCACTATCAACCCATCCCCGTATGCCAGAGTGCTAGGGGTAACCCTGAATTCTGACCTATCTTTCAGGCCCACATCCAATCCCTGTCCAAATCATGCCGCCTCAACCTCCGCAACATCTCCAGAATATGCCCCTTTTTAACCATTGATACCATACAGCTCCTAATTCACTTATCTCTCGCCTTGACTACTGCAACTCCCTCCTCATTGGCTTACCTTTACATAGGCTATCCCCCCTCCAGTCCATCATGAATACTGCTGCCAGGCTCATGCACCTTGCCAACCGTTCAGTGTCTGCTACCCTCTCTGCCAATCCCTCCACTGGCTTCCACTTGCCCAACGAATAAAATTCGAAATAGTAACAACTTACAAAGCCATCCACAACTCTGCCCCCAGCTACATCATTAACCTGGTCTCAAAATATCTACCAAACCGCTGTCTTCGATTCTCCCAAGACCTTCTGCTCTCTAGTTCCCATGTCACCTCCACCCATGCTCGCCTCCAGGACTTCTCCCATCCTATGGAACTCCCTACCCCAATCTGTCCGACTATCTCCTAATCTATCCACCTCTAGACGATCCCTGAAAACCGTTCTCTTTAAAGAAGTCTATCCTGCTTCTAACTAGTAAACTGCCTTTTATTTCCTCCATCAGCTCATCCCCCTCACAGCTATTACCTTTTTTATCACTCAACCCTTCATCCTAGACTGTAAGCTCTAACGAGCAGGGCCCTCTGTATCCTCTTGTGCCAAATTGTATTGTAGCTGTAATGTAGGTAGACATTACTTTTTTTTTTTTCGTTGGTTTAGCAAAAAAATTAAAAACCCAGTGGTGATCAAATATCATCAAAAGAAAGCTCTATTTGTATGAAAAAAATGATGAAAGTTTCATATGGGTACAGTGTTGTATGACCGTGCAATTGTCATTCAGAATGTGACAGCACTGAAAGCTGAAAATTGACCTGGACAGGAAAGGGGGTAAGAGTGCCTGGTATTGAAATGGTTAATGCTACATGTGCTGACATTGCATGAAAGGAAATTGGCTTGAACAGTTTCTTATGTTTGTGATTATCAACATGCTTTGAAAGTATTTTACATGGACTTACTTTATATTGTTCACAGCTTGAGTCTCAGTGTTGCACCTCTCATCATGCGAGTTCCTATCCACTGTGTTTCTGTGACAAAGGAGAACAGCCACATCCTGGTGGGACTGGAGGATGGTAAACTCATCATTGTTGGTGTTGGTAAACCAGCAGAGGTATGCATTTATAGGTATACTGGGATTTTTTGGAGTCATAATCCAAAGACATGTCTATGATCTGAGACAATGCACAAACACCTTCCAGTTCACAAAACCCAGTGAGATCAGCAGTGTCCAGCTCAGACAATCAGGCAGATTCACTGTCAAAGTTTTTTTTATTTGCACTAAGATACAATTTTTCAAGACAAGCTTTTGGGGTATGCCCCTTCTGCAAGGTCCAAGCAGTCCAGAAAAATTGTATGTTAGTGCAAATAAAAAAGTATCACGGCCAGAGAAGGCGCGTTTCTTAAAGGTGATGTGGTTTTGTTTTTGTATGGTTACATTGGGCCAGCTTGGGGCAGCGTAAACATGCATGATCCATATATGTGGCTGATCTCTGTAAGATGGAAATCACTGTAGTAGCTGCCACTACTAGAGTGATCCTTACTGTCTTCTGTGTGCCTTGCTGCATAGTAACCACAGGGGGTCAGTAACAGGTGCCATTCAGAGAACAGCTTGTATTTTTTCAATGAATGAAGAGCATTCTCTTATTGGATAAAGTGGAGTGGCTTGACAGTGACATCACATTCTCGACTTTTTTTGCACAGAGCAGCCCGGATCTTCCTCGGTTCCCCCACCAGCACCTCCTCTGTCTCCTCATTGGCTCACTGGCTGTGATTGACAGCAGTGGGAGTCAATGGCTCCCACTGCTGTCTTAGCCAATGAGGAGGCAAAGACCCGGCACAGCTGAGGTTCTCGTGGACATTGCTGGATCGCAATGGGGCTCAGGTAAATATTAGGGGGATTGGGGGGGGGGGTTGCTGCACACATAAGTGTTTTTACCTTCATTCATACAATGCATGAAGGTAAAAAACTTTGAGCCTTTACAACCACTTTAATTGCAGATTTAATCCTGATCTTTTAATTTCACTTACAAATGTTGACTTTTTTTTTTATTCTGTTCAAGTGCATTGCAGCAATTCTTGCATACTTTTGATTTTTTTTCACCTAAACTTTAACAATGTTTGGCACATCCATGGCTTATATGCATTAAAGGGAATTTATGAAATTTGGTATATACGTATGTTGTGTATGTATTGTGTTTGACACTAAAAGATAAAATTAAAAAAGATATACTTTTCATTTTTGTTAGCCTGGTAAATATAAAACATTGCATACACATTTCCATGTTTACTAGCCTAATCCTAACTACTTTGATGATCAGACAGAATTACACAAAAAACTGAATGAGAGTAGCCGCTCACCTTCTCTCCCTTCCACATCCTGCTGTGTACAGGTCCCAACAGACTATTAAATAGAAACAAAAGGCCTGAAAACAAACCATTTAGCACAATGGCTAAATGGTTAGCACTTCCGCCTGGCAGCACTAGGGTCCTTGGTTCAAATCCCAGCCACGGCACCTCCTGCCTGGAGTTTGCATGTTCTCCCTGTGCCTGCGTGGGTTTCCTCCGGGTACTCCGGTTTCCTCCAACACTCCAAAGACATGTTGGTAGATTAATTGGATCCTGTCTAAATTGGCCCTTGTATATGAATGTAAGTTAGGGACCTTAGATTGTACGCTCCTTGAGCGTTAGGGACTATTGTAAATGTACAATATATATATATGTAAAGCACTGCATAAATTGATGGCGCTATATAAGTACCTGAAATAAATAAATAAAATAAATTTCTGCCTTTTTATTATTGTTTTTAAAAACCTATAGTGCTGGCAGTTCTGTGTCATGGGTGCATCCTAAATGTGTGAATTAAGGATTTTATATAAATATGTTTACACTTACAAACTAAAATAAAACTTGCCCCAAAACCATTGAGTTTTCTTTTGAAAATGCATAAACATATGATGTGCATTTTTGTGGCTTACCATTCATTTCTATGGGCCTTTGTCACCACACACATGTGAACAGACCCTAAGCAGTATAAAAATGAACATAGCTATCTGTCCTGCAACTAGTTCCTGTATTATCATGTGTATGCACCTCTAGAAACATACTATATAAACTCATTTGTTCCAGTGGTGTGATTTGGCATTAATTAGTAAGACTTGTATGTTATGTAATGGTAATATATCATGTTCTACTACATAATAGCAAATTTGCTTTCTTTTTTTAGGCAAAATCAGGTCAAATATCCCGAAAGCTTTTTGGTTCTAGCAGACGACTTAGCCAGATTTCTTCTGGAGAGACGGAATATAACACACAAGACTCTTAACTTCGCTCTGACCGTAATCATGGAAAATGACTATGAATAAAGGCATTTGATGGCAAGCCTCTACGCAACGCCTTATGGAGGTCTCACAAAGTGAATTTCAAGGGTACATGCTACAGTAGAAGACAGACCTCCTCAGTCAAGTACTTGTAATTAAAATGAAATTAAGTCCTCCACCTGTATTGAAGTTACCTGTACTGTACACAGTGGCTGTCAGAGGATCTACATTCAAGCGTATTATTTTGTACATTAAATTGCTGCTTAACTCTTTTGTTGCCAGGCATTTGCCCAAGTCTCGCAGCAGAACAGTAACTTGTTGAATGAATCACAGATAACATCTAATCATCATACCTTCCTTTTGTTCATTGCACTACATCTTTCTATATTCTATAATATGTCTCTTCATTTTATTGTAGAGGGTTTTCTAAACACTACTGGGAAGTGGGGCTACATTCCTTCTTCAGCAGAAACGCAACAAGGCGCTCACAAATTTAATTTATAGCTTTTATTATAAGCCGTCCTATAAGAATCTGTAGATGTAGTTAGTATCCCCAAGCAACAGTTTATTTATATTTAACTGGATTGTAATATAATCAATCGTTTTTTTTTTTTTTTCAAATTTTGAACCTTTTTTGATAAATGCTTATGTAAAAAAAACACAGCTTTGTACATCTTCATCTGTGTTTTTATTTTTTTCTGTGGTCTGACAGCCTTGCTTTACAAAAATGTTGATATTCTTTTCTTTCATGGCAATTCTCTCTTCCTGTCCATATGGAGCCATTTATTATTAAAAAAAAATTGAAGTAGCAGGTGGTCAGTAGCTTACCCCCTTACTTTAAAATTAAACTCCAGGTAGATAATAAGTAGCACCAACTAGTGCAGGTATAGATTAATTTGAAAACAAAAATCATTCAATTTATTTTTAAAGGCATATAGTGTTAGTAAATTGAAGAATGCCCTATGCAGCAGCACTCAAATTGGTAATGGGAAGGAGGGCAGCAATAGAGTAGGAGAGAATAGAAGATTAATCTCATCAGCATGTTGGTTTCACTCTCCAGCAGAATAGAGGTAATGCATTCATGAGAAGTTTTGTAACTGCTGCAGTTGTGGTGGAGGACCTGGCATTACTGGCAGGGTGTCTAGTTCACAAATCTGGCCATCAGTGCATATAGAATTCAAATTATTTGGTAGGTAAAAAAGTCCACCTGCAAGTATTTTCCAAGGGGTGTTCCATTTGCATCTAATCAAGCTTAACCTCAGTTCTCATGACTGTTTTAGTATTTCTGTCATTAATAACCTGTGTAAGTTTCATCTTGCTGTTCAAATGATGGCCTATATATGGAGGGCTGGTAGTATTTGCCCCTTCACTGGTTAATCTTCTCATTCCATGTTACTTCCTGCATCTGGCTGTCTAACAAGCATTTATCCCTTTACAGCCGGTCTTTCTAACACAAGTATATTATTATTATTATTATATTATACAGTATTTATAAAGTGCCAATAGTTCGCTCAGCGCTGTACATTACAAAGGGGGACAGAACATGTGACAGAACAATACCAATACAATGCAAAACATGAGGGGATTGAGGGCCCTGCTCTTTCGAGCTTACAATCTTAAGCTTTTGCTAGTTGTGAGTTGTCAGCTTTCCTGAAACAACTGGGATTATTTATTAGGGCAGGAAACACTATTAGTGTGCAAAGTGTGGTGATCTTTAGGAGCCTGTTTTAATTTAGTTTGCTGTAGTCAGACCTGTAACATATTGTTTTATTGTTTGCTGTGTGTTGCTCCTTGAATTTTCACAAGAGCGTTACAGGACGGAAGATCTACAGAAATGAAAGGGCTTTTAATTGCTTTCCTTTGCCCTGTATGTCCTAGCATAATTCTGATCATAAGTACATTCTGCTGATTAAGGATAGGTATAATTCTTAAAAAAAATATTAACACTAGTTGTTTCCACCCCTCACATAAATACTTTTCTAGATTGATTTATATGTAAAGATGTGTCTGTCACAGGTAACACATCTTTAAACTGTGATTTAATCAATACTGTAGTATTCTATTTACTTGAAGTAGTTGTATAAAAATGCATTCAGTTGGAGATGATAAAGCAGTCAGTCATGCTTCGCCAATGTAGCACTCTGTGCATTTTACTAATCTATTTATACTGTGATTACTCTGTGTGCTGTTACATTTCCTTACATTGTGTATTTTCTTTGTTGAAGTCAGTCTGCTCTGCATGGTTTCATTTCTCCTACATATATTCCAGTGAGTATAGCAGTGTAGCTGTCATTCCAGTGTCACACACTTCTTGAATGAGCTCTTTCCATACCGCAGACTGAGTAGTTATTTACTTGTTTATTTATAAGTTAGTAAGCTTGTACGTTTTGGTTCATGTAACAATATGGCAAACCTATAACTTCCAGGCAGACTTTCCTTTTATGTTTTCCCATATTTGTCCTATGAAATATATTTTTTTTTGATTTTGCTAGTGGGTACAAAATAAGGAATGGGTCCAGAAGCTTTAAACTTTAGAATTATGTTCAAATATAATAGCAATGCCAATCATTGTTTTTCAGTGTCCAGATTTTTTTTTTTTTACTATTTGCTCAAACACTGTTGGGAATAGAAGATATGTTGCTTGTAATTTGTTGTATTTAAGATCATATATACCACCTGTATATAGATCATTTTAACTTTAATTATTGTATATCTTTATTTTATTCTGAGTAATTCTATCTAATTTAAACTTTGTCTATTTCTATTTATATACATGAAGAGAGGATCTCTATTCTGTTTGAAAGCACAAATGTGTAAAGTTTATACATAATTCTTTTTTTCTAAAATGCATACGTTCAATTTCCTGGTTATTGATATGTCTACAGTTTTAGAACTAATTTCTTACTATCCAGCATTGGCTTTATATGTACATATGTATAAGAATGTTTTTACTGCTGCAGAGATATATGCCTTCCTGATCTAAAAGATTAGAAAGTCTTTGAATTATTTTAATTTCACGTAATACTAAATCTACGTCTGTCACACTACGCCAAATATTTAGCTACAAATGTGTAAACCACAGAGGTTTTGTACTATTTCAAATGACCTTACCAATAAACCGATTCTTTATAAAGCGTGTATGTTAGAACCTGCTCACTAGTTGTACAATGAACTGTCATGTATGCATTATTGAACACCATTTACTGCAAGCAATGTTTTTTTTTGCATTAATTAAGAATCATATGATAATTTTGTTTTATATAAATCTAACAGGATCAAAATGTAAGGTCTTCCAGTATTAAAGGGTTAGGAAGTGTTTATTTAAAGCTGACCCATCACACAACACTGAACTACTTAAAGTACACCTGTCCCAAGTGCAATCATCATGTACACTGCCCTTTCTGTCTGAAAATGCTGTAGGCCTGGCTGTCATGCTGACCTTCTTGGCTGACTGAAGCCAGAGGATCAGCTGTACACACCGACAACTGGCATTTTCAGATGAAGGTCAAGCAATAGCAACCACAGTATTTTTATTTTTTTTTTTAACATGTTTGCTGTAAAGTGACCCTGTCACCACTTCACACACTTACTGATGATACCTTTAATATGATTCCTCTATTTTCAGCAGAGAGTGCTGCAGATTTCTCTATTCTCTGACAATGTCAGTGTGCACCCATCAGTAAGTGGTATTTGTATACATTTAAGTGATATGTTCAGCCTAAAATGTGTGAAGTTATTACAGGATCACTTGAAGGCAGAGCGTGATTTGAATTACAGTATAGAAATATACTACATGTCTTAGAAGTATCTGCTATCAATCTAGCCAGGCTATTGCTTTATGAGATGCCATGGAAAAAACACTATTACACTAAACTGCAACTGGCAATTTGCAAACCAGTGAAGAGTCTGGAGGTTCTAAAAATGTAGATGATAGGTCTGCTTTAACATGAAAGTTCTTATTTTGATGTAGGCTTTATATTTATATCATATATGTTATTGATTTATAAAACGATCGCTGTGGCCTTTCTTTTTTAAGCATATCTGGGAGCACAATACGTTTCTAAACTCTCTCAGCAGATTTAAGTTATGATTTTACTGAGTGCAATATAATTATATTTGTGTTTTGTCACAATCGTGATTTGTCAAAGAGCAATATTATTTAGTGGTTCATCATATTGTTGCTTCTTTTGTTTTGTTTTTTCTGGTACACATAATAGTGCCTCTATATTTTGTAAACCACAAAAATGCAGCAAGAATGCTATGCCTTATTGTTTTATTCATTGACCTCCAAAATTTAGGTGCTTTCACTTACATAATGGGAGCAGATTATCAAAAAGGAGTGAGATCAGATTAAAGGGGTTGTACAGGTGAAACATGAAAAATCTTAATAATAGGTTGAGGAGTTAACAAAAGAACGAGCTTTGTGATTTTTTTTTTTTGTTTCTTTATTTTTTTTTAAAAGGCTTCCTTCATTGTGATCTGTTTTGTGACTTTTTTAGATTAGAGCAATGATAAGGCTAGAGCCACACAGGTCATTTTATTTTATTGCAACTGAGAGTTTTTCCAACTTGTTTGCCATCACCTCACAAGGATAGAGATACAGCAGATATTTTAGTAGCTAAGCCCCACTGCTAAAATTACTAGTGCTTAACTAAGAGTTGTAACAAATGGTCTCTCAACAGATAGAACAAGTGGCTTCCGATGGAGTAAGCTACACAAGTAGATCACTTTCACTGAAAACCACGTCAAAACAATCAGAAGATCCAGAGCTATAGGCAGCTGAAATTATACTTCTCTGTTTCCTATAAAAGTAAATCTTGGCTCTACCTTCTTATATTAGGCTTTTAATGTGATAAATAGGCAAAAGGCCTGGGTGTCGGCCAAGGGTATATCAATTTTATGAAAAGTCTAACCTTACCTCCTTTCAAACAGTGTGATGCCCCTCGCCGGTGCTAGCATATTCTTCCTGGCTTCTCCCAGGTTCTAGGACGGCGGTCTTCTCTTT